TATCTCTGATGTGTATAATATAAAGAGAAACTGAAAGACTTTAATGTACATTTGGAAAAATGTAGGAACCCCAGGTACCCTTTCTAATCATGAAGTTAGACACACACCAGGGCTTTTTATATTAAACAAGTTGTAAACTTCCTCCACTATCCTCACAGATCCTGCTCTACGATTAAAAAGCAGAAAAAGATCAGCAAAGGAAAATGGAGCACAGTTAAGGAAGCGCTCATGTACCAACCAGATTGAACCAAACGATATAGCTATGGCCACAGATAGCAATGTATGACTAGGTTCAAAGGGTGGCATAAAAGACATTTCACAGCCATAATTTATATAGAGATTACAATACTTGAAATCTAAAATTTAGATCTGTTTTCAAAACAAAACCAGCATCAGTATTTAACCATCAACTCTGACAATATCAATCTTCACACACCACTGTGGCCACTGCTCCTCTTCAGAATCCTGCTCAACACCCAGGACCATTCAAGTTAGGTAATGTATCCGACTGTGAGCTTTCTCTGAAGCTTACGAGGAAGGCGTTGGGTACTAACGAGTGGGATGGTGCTGGGTAGTTCAATGCAGCTTGCAGAGGTGTTGAAACTGAGAGCATAGTGTGTCTGCCTGTCTCTCTGCACGCAAGCACTGGGGGCTCTGGAAGCTTGAGCAGCCCCCAGCTACTAAATGGGAGACCAGTACAAACTGGCCCTGGGAAAGGCAGGATTAAAAAAGATTCATGTCTTAATATCTATTCATTTCTATATATCTATATATAGGAAGTATTCTCCATCAGTTGTTTATTGGAGGAGTCAAATTGAACAAATTGTGTGATGTTAAATAAGAATACGAAAGATAAGTCTAAAATAAAATTATCTTCCACACTGGAGAGACTTTTTTTCTTGTCTCTTCTCACTTAATTACGTTGGTTGAGGTAAAAACAAACAATGTGGCTGGGCATGGTGGCTCACGCCTGTAATTCTAGCACTTTGGGAGACCGAGATGGGTGGATCACCTGAGGTCAGGAGTTTGAGACCAGCCTGGCCAACATGGCGAAACCCCGTCTCTACTAAAAATATAAAAATCAGCCAGGCGTGGTGGCGGATACCTGTAATCCCAGATACTCAGGAGGCTGAGGCAGGAGAATCACTGAACCTGGGGGGCGGAGGTTGCAGTGAGTGAAGATCACACCACTTCAGCCTGGGCGAAAAAGCAAAACTCCATCTCAAAAACAAACAAACGTTTACCTCATAGTAGTATTATAACTCCTTACCTGGCTCAATTGTGATTACCATCCCAGGCTGCAGAGGGAGAGAACGGGGCATGTCTGGAGTGTCATGGACATCCATCCCGAGGTAGTGGCCAACATGATGAGGGCAGTATTTTCGAGCAGCCTGGAAAGATAATTATCACAGTATCATCAGAGCAATGACCTCTAACGGGGAATGCTGGGCAAGTATAAATCAGTGAGATATGTGTTATTATCTCCCCCATGGTTCTGCCACTTCAGTTTAATCCCTCCTTGGGCTAATACTTAAAGGCACCTGAAAAACTGCAACCTCTTATATGCAATTCTGCCAATGGCATTCTCATCAATCCACACTTCCATTCCCACTATTTAATATACTACCTACATGCTGACTTGGGTAATCCAACTAATGACTGTGGCAAATGAAAGTCTGTTTTCTTCAGTACCATAGGAAAGGTAAAAATAAAAGAGAGAAAAAAAATCTCTTTTTTTGGGAAAGAGAGGATGACTATTACCACAGTTCTCTTTCCAATGTTCCTTCACACATCCCTCTCAGGAATCCACTCTGGAGACCCTAAATATCTCACAGCAACTTGTGGAGAAGGCATACTTTTGGGCACGTACCAGCTTGGGTATTTCTTTTTTTTTGAGATGGAGTCCTGCTCTGTTGTCTAGGTTGGAGTACAGTGGTGTGATCTTGGCTCACTGCAAACTCGGTCTCCTGGGTTCAAGCGATTCTCCCACCTCAGCCTCCCCAATAGCTGGGATTATAGACTTGTATCACCATGCCTGGCAAATTTTTGTCTTTTTAGTAGAGACAGGGTTTCACCATGTTGGCCAAGCTGGCCTCGAACTCCTGACCTCATGTGATCTGCCTGCCTCAGCCTCCCAAAGTGCTGGGATTACAGGTGTGAGCCACTGTGCCCAGCCAGCTTGGGTATTTCCATCAGTTAGTTAAAGATTTGGCCGGGCGCGGTGGCTCAAGCCTGTAATCCCAGCACTTTGGGAGGCCGAGACGGGCGGATCACAAGGTCAGGAGATCGAGACCATCCTGGCTAACATGGTGAAACCCCGTCTCTACTAAAAATACAAAAAACTAGCCGGGCGAGGTGGCGGGCGCCTGTAGTCCCAGCTACTCGGGAGGCTGAGGCAGGAGAATGGCGTAAACCCGGGAGGCGGAGCTTGCAGTGAGCTGAGATCCGGCCACTGTACTCCAGCCTGGGCGACAGAGCGAGACTCCGTCTCAAAAAAAAAAAAAAAAAAAAAAAGATTTGTTGGCCCGAGCAACAGCCAATTTATAGCTTCGTTTTTATTGATAATAGAAGTCCTAGAAGCCTTAACTTGTAGGTAGGAGATGCCTAATGGTCTATCTGACTTGGGCATCTAGCATCTTAATTTTAAAGCTGAGGTTTTACATTTTTACTGAACATCATCACATTTTGGATGCAGAAAAAAATTCACTAATGACATGGCCTTTGGGAATATTGCTGAAGTCTCAAAAATGTCACTTAAACAAATACCTTCTCCTTTGACCTACAGAATAACCCATAAAGGGATTAAAAGTTAATCTCTCTCTCTCTCTATTTTTTTTTTTTTTGGACACAGGGCCTTGTTCTGTGGCCCAGGTTGGAGTGCAGTGGTGCGATCATAGTTCACTGCAGCCTTGAACTCCTGGGGTCAAGTGATCCTCCCACCTCAACCTCCCAAGTAGCTGGGACTCGAGATGTGTGCCACCACACCTGGCTAACTTTTAAATTTTTTGTAGAGACAGGGTCTTGCTATATTTCCCAGGCTTCTCCTCATTTCTTGTTTCCTTTTTCACCCTGTCTACACCAGACTTCATTTTACGTTTTCTGAATACTGAGCTAGTTGTGCAGCATGTAATGAATCAGAATGTGCTGCCATCTTCTGGAAGAAATAAGTACTGACTTCCTTTGTTTTAATCTATGTTAAAGCTAAATCCCTCTTATAGATCACAAAGATGATTTCTAAATCTTTTCACTTAAAAAACCCCGTGTGTGTATGTGTGTATATATATATCTATGTGTGTACGTATATGTATGTGTGTGTATACATATCTATATGTATATACATATAGATGGGTCTTGCTATATTGCCCAGGCTGGCTTCAAGCGATCCTCCTGCCTCAGCCTCCTAAACTACTGAGATTACAGGCATGAATCACTGCATCTGTCCCATTTCTAAATCGAATTAGCTTTATATACGGTAAAAGCCTAGCAGCATGCTAGGTGTTCTTGAGAACTGGGGTCAAGAGAAGTGAAATACCTTGAAGACATTATTTTCCTTAATGTTCTTCATGATTCCCAAGTCTTTAAGCTTCTGTCCTATCAGGGTCAGCATCATGCTGTAGATGTTCTCCAAGCTTGTCCCAGGGAAGCAGAGGGCCAAACAATCTCTCTGGATCTCTAGAACAGCTTCATAGAGTTCTGCCTGAGGTGCAGTGAACCTAGGGATGGGAAAACCAAATAATCTGAACTTAGATAATCTGATACTCTAAGAAGTTTGCTACTAAGTTTGATTAGAAAAACCCCAAGATGCTGCTGCTGGGGCACTGTTGATGTTTAATAAGTACCAATCTATCAATATGGCCAGGAGCTCAATCATGTCCTAGGTGCTCAGCAGGAAGGGCAACAATCCTTCAAGCTGGAGCAGCAACACAGTCTCTTCTTCAAATGGTCAGGAGAGACATGAAGTAGGGCCAAAAGCAGCACCCAGCCACGAGTGCAGTCAGTGGGCAGACGAGGCTCAGCCTTGATCCTGTCTAATCCCTTACAGCACAGACTACCATTTAAAAAAAAGGCAGGAAAGCCTAGAGACCCACTTCTGACAGGTGAAGCAGATACCATGGGATAAACTAGTCAACATCTGGGCTACTAGTAACATACTAGCACTTAAGTGTCTTTAGAATAACAGTTTCTTTAGCAATTATGAGATAAAAAAGTGACCTGAGATAATATATGATATGTATTCTCACATACTGTTGATAGGAGTGTAAACTAATACAGCCAATTACATCAAAGGCCTTAAAGATGCTCATATAACTAGAGCTTATAATTCTACTCTAATGTATCCGAAGAAAATATTTGAAATTCAAAACAGCTGAATGTATGAAATGTAATTTTACTGTTGTAAATTATGTATAATTTGAATATATAAATGAATGTAATATAAAATGAATGTAATTTTATAATTGTAAATTATTAGATAAACTCTAAATGTCCTCTAATAGAAGAATGGTTAAATATAATAGCATAAAGAACCCATAGCATAATGTACCCATACCCCACCCCACCACAGTATTACTAAATAATTATTTCTGTAACAGTTTTTTTTTTTTTTTTTTTTTTTAAAGAGACAAGGTCTCACTATGTTGCCCAGGTTGGTCTGGAACTCTTCAGCTCAAACGATCCTCCTGCCTTGGCCTCCCAAAGTGTCTTTATATACACTAAAATGCATACATTTGAATGGTACAATTTTGACAGATGCATGTACCAAACCTATTGAAGCTGAGGACAATGAACTCCTAAATACTTCTGAGTCTTTTTTTTTTTTTTTTTTTCCCTGAGACGGAGTCTGGCTCTGTCACCCAGGCTGGGGTGCAGTGGCCAGATCTCGGCTCACTGAAAGCTCCGCCTCCCGGGTTTACGCCATTCTCCTGCCTCAGCCTCCCGAGTAGCTGGGACTACAGGCGCCCACCACCTCGCCTGGCTAGTTTTTTGTATTTTTTAGTAGAGACGGGGTTTCACCATGTTAGCCAGGATGGTCTCGATCTCCTGACCTCGTGATCCGCCCGTCTCGGCCTCCCAAAGTGCTGGGATTACAGACTTGAGCCACCGCGCCCGGCCTCTTCTGAGTCTTCATTGCCAGCAGAAGCGGCCCTTCCACACTGTCTGAGAAGGCTAACCCTGTTTTCCTGAAAACCTGTAGGTATATCCCTTGAGGTAGTTGCCTTGGTTCTTCTAGTCCAGGCAGTCCTCAAGTCCCAGCAGGCTCCAAGTTAGGTAGCAAGTGTGACCCACGAGGAGGTCCACTCCACTCCAAAAAGAACTGTATGAGGGGCCGGGCATGGTGGCTCATGCCTGTAATCCCAACACTTTGGGAGGCAGAGGTCGATGGATCACCTGAGGTCAGAAGTTCGAGACCAGCCTGACCAACATGGAGAAACCCCATCTCTACTAAAAATACACAATTAGCTGGGTGTGGTGGCGCATGCCTGTAATCCCAGCTTCTCCGGAAGCTGAGGCAAGAGAATTGCTTGAACCTGGGAGGCAGAGGTTGCGTTGAGCCGAGATTGCACCATTGCACTCCCACCTGGGCAACAAGAGTGAAACTTCATCTCAAAAAAAAAAAAAAAAAAAGAACTGCACGAGGTTTCCAATTTCTGACAGACAAAAATCTGGGAATATGGGTGGGAATGAATATTTATGGTGTGGGATAATGGTAGAAGGAACATAGTTGCATCAGGCAACTTTACTGATATGGGTCCACTAATCAGAGATTCTGGATTCAATGTTGTAGCTGAAGGGGTCAGAAAAGTTCTAACAGTTTGGTTGCCTGGCTGGCTGAAACACAAACCAAAAGGTCATCCACAATACATAAACACAAATGCCACAACTGCTTTGGTATACTGGAGAAGGAATTCTGCCTCAAGACTGTAATATAAATCCTGCCTGAGTTTGGACTGAAGTCTGCCCTATAGATTTTGGACTCAAGCCTTATACAGAGCATTTCCATCTCCCCCGAAAGCTTCCTCACGTTCATTTCTTTTTTTCCCTTTTTGAGATGGAATTTCCCTCTTTTGCCCAGGCTAAAGTGCTGTGACCTCGGCTCACTGCAACTTCTGCCCCTACCGGGTTCAAGCGATTCTCCTGTCTCAGCCTCCTAAGTAGCTGGGATTATAGGCGCCTGCCACCATGCCTGGCTAATTTTTGTATTTTGAGTAGAGATGGGATTTTGCCATGTTGGCCAGGCTGGTCTTGAACTCCTGATGTCAGGTGATCCACCCACCTTGGCCTCCCAAAGTCCTAGGATTACAGGCGTGAGTCACCATGTCCATTTCTAATCAATATCCCTACTTTCCGAGGCAAATGCTGTTGTGATTATTTTGACCTTAGTCTGCCTAATCTAGAACATCATATAAATGGAATCATACAATATATACTATTTTGTGTCTGGCTTCCTTCACTGAGCATAATCTATGCTCTGTGCACCACTGCACTCCAGCCTGGAATGCAATAATCTATGCTCAGTGAGGGTAGAATGATGTCTATGCAGTACATCCATGGTGTTGCTTCAATCAATAACAAAAAACATTCAATCAGTAATTAAAATGTTTTTTTTTATTACTGAGTGGTATTCTATTGTATGAACAGACCACAATTTGCATATTCATTCTCCTGTTGATGGGACATTTTGGTTGTTATGCTATTGTGAATAAATGCTGTTATGAATGTCCTTGTGCAACTCTTTTTGTTGAGAAATGTTTTCATTTCTCTTAAATACCTAGAATTTGGCTGGGCATAGTGGCTCATCCCTATAATTCCAGTGTTTTGGCAGGTCAAGGCAAGAGGATCGTTTGAGCCAAGGAGTTGCAGACCAGCCTGGGCAACATAGCAAAACCCTGCCTCTATAAAAAAACAAAATATTAGCCAGGCATGGTGGCATGTGCCTATAATCCCAGCTACTTGGGAGGTTGAGATGGAAGGATGGCTCTCTGCCTCAGCCTCCCAAGTAGCTGAGATTACAGGCACCTGCCACCATGCCCAGCTAATTTTTGTTATTTTAGTATGGACGGGGTTTCACCATGTTGGTTAGACTGGTCTCGAACTCATGACCTCAAGTGATCCACTCGCCTGGGCCTCCCAAAGTGCTGGGATTACAGGTGTGAGCCACTGCACCTGGCCTTTTTACAATGTAGTTCTATTCTTCCAGCTGGATAATTTCTTTTTTCTTGTTTTTTTTGAGATGGAGTCTTGCTCTGTTGCCCAGGCTGGAGTACAGTGGTGCGATCTCCACTCACTGCAAGCTCTGCCTCCCGGGTTCACGCCATTCTCCTGCCTCAGCCTCTCAAGTAGCTGGGACTACAGGCACCCACCACCACGCCTGGCTAATTGTTTTTATATTTTTAGTAGAGATGGGGTTTCACCGTGTTAGCCAGGATGGTCTCGATCTCCTGACCTTGTGATCTGCCTGCCTCAGCCTCCCAAAGTGCTGCGATTACAGGAGTGAGCCACCGCCCCCGGCCCCAGCTGGATACTTTCTATTTATCTTCAAGTTTGCAAACTTCTGCAGCCTCCCATCTACAGTTAAGTTCACCCAGTGAATTTCCTATTTCAGTTAATGTACTTTTTGGCTTTAAAATTGTCATTTAAAATTTAAAAATTTTTTTATTGTAAAACAAAACACAGATATAGAAAGTCAAACAAATCAATGAAACATAAACCTTAAGAAATTATTCGGTGGCTCTATTAGAAATACAAAAATTAGCTGGGCGTGGTGGCACCCGCCTGTAGCCCAGCTACTTGGGAGGCTGAGGCAGGAGAATTGCATGAACCTGGAAGCTGGAGGCTGCAGTGAGCCAAGATTGTGCCACTGCACTCCAGCCTGGGCAACGGAGCGAGACTCCATCTCAAAAAAAAAAAAAAAAAGAAAAGAAAAAAGAAAAAAAAAAGAAATCATTATAAGGTGAATACCAGTCAGACAAAAAAATAAAAAGAAAAAAAGAAAAACTTGGCAGACTATCCCAGAAGACCTTTCTATAGGTCCCAGAATAATTACAATCTTACCAATAAGTAACCCTCATCCTAACTTTTTTTTTTGAGACGGAGTCTCACTCTGCTGCCCAGGCTGGAGTACAGTGGTGTGATCTTGGCTCACTGCAACCTCCACCTCCCGGGTTCAAGTGATTCTCCTGCCTCAGCCACCCAAGTAGCTGGGACTGCAGGCGCCTGCCACCACGACTGGCTGATTTTTTTTTGTTGTTGTTATTTTTAGTAGAGACAGGGTTTCACCATGTTGGCTAGGCTGGTCTCAAACTCCTGACCTCAGGTTATCCACCTGCCTTGGCCTCCCAAAGTGCTGGGATTATAGGTGTTAGCCACTGTGCCCAGCCTTTTTTATTTTGGAGATAAGAGCCTTGCTCTGTTACCTAGGCTAGAGCGCAGTGACGTGATCGTAGTTCACTGTAACCAAAAATTTCAAGGGTCAAGTGATTTTGCCACCTCAGCCTCCTAAGTAGCTGGGATTACAGGTGTGCGCCACCATAGTTGGCCAATTTTTTGTATTTTTTGTAGATATAGAGGTCTTGCTGTGTTGCCCAGGCTGGTTTTGAACTCCTGGCCTCAAGTGATCCTCCTGCCTCAGCCTCCCAAAACACTGGGATTACAGGTGTCAGCCACCACGCTAGCCGTATCAGTTTGTAGTCAGTTAATTGTGATTTTTTATTTGTGTGTACTATTATTTACACATGAATTTAAATTTTTTTTTTTTTTTTTTTTAAAGACAGGGTCTCACTCTGTTGCCTAGGCTGGAGTGCAGTAGTGCAGTCACAGCTCACTGCAGCCTTGACCTCCGGGCTCAGGTGATCCTCCCACTTTAGTCTCTCCAGTGGCTGGGAGTACAGGCCCATGCTACCATACCCAGCTAATTTTTTTCTTTCATCATTATATATGAAATGCTTCACAAATTTGCATGTCATCCTTGCGTAGGGGCCACGCTAATCTCTGTATTGTTCCAATTTTAGTATATGTGCTGCTGAAGGAAGCACTTTTAAAGTTTTTTTGTAGAGATGGGGTTTTGCCATGTTGCCCAGGCTGGTCTGGAACTCCTGGGCTCAAGTCATCTGCTAGCCTTGGCCTCCCAAAGTGCTGGGATTACAGGATGAACCACAATGCCTGACCAAATTTATAATTTTTATTGAGATATAATTCATTTATCATAAAATTCCTTCACTTAAAAAAGTGTACAATTCAGTGGTCTTAAGTATATTCACAATGTTGTACAACCATCACTACTACTAATTCCAGAAAATTTTCATTACCATCTCCTCCCAAATCTTGTATCTGTTAGCAGTCACCCCCTTTTCCTTGCATTTTTTTTTAAATTTTAATTTAAAAAAAAAATTTTCTTTTTACAGATGGGGTCTTGCTCTTTTGCTCAGGCTGGAGTGTACTGGCTATTCACAAGCTTGTTCCCACTACTGATCAGTACAAGAGTTGTGACCTGCTCTGTTTCTGATCTGGGCCAGTTCAGCCCTCCTTAGGTAACGTGGTAGTTCCCCGCTCCTGAGCGGATACCATATTGATGATGGACTTGTCGCAGACACCTGATCAACATAGTGGACTGCAGCTTAGAACCCCTGGACTCAAGTGATCCTCCTGCCTCAGCTTCCTGAGTAGCTGAGACTATAGGTGCATGCCACTACGCTTGGTCATTGTGGGGTTTTTTCTTTTTCTTTTTTTTGCGACAGGGTCTGGTTCTGTCACCCAGGCTGGACTGCAATGGTGCAATCTTGGCTCACTGCAACCTCTGTCTCCTGGGCTCAAGCAATCCTCCCACCTCAGCCTCCCGAGTAGCTGGGACTACAGGCACGTGCCACCATGCCTGGCTAATTTTTTTGTATTTTTTGTAAAGACCGGGTTTCACTATGTTGCCCATGTTGGTCTTGAACTCCTGAGCTCAAGTGATCCTCCTGTCTTGTCTCCCAAAGTGCTGGGATTACATGAGGTACCTCGCCTGGCTGTCCTTTGTGTTTTTAAAAATATTTTTATCACCCAAATATTCACCCCAAGATAATTTTCTTTGTGCTCATTTTTAATGTATTTGATATACTCATTTGTAATATATCTGATATAACTAAAACCTCTTTTAGTTAATAGGCTCCTCCTCCACCTCTTTTCATTTCCTTGTAATGTATTTGTTAAAGAATCCAGGCTGCTTGACGTAGTTTATCAGTCTAGATTTTGCTAATTGTGCAGTTACAGAATGAATGTTTGTGAATTAGGAGCTAATTATTCTGAGGTAACAAATACTACCTGGTGTTTGGTTTTGTTAGCTAGTTGCTCTATGTTTATGTGACAATTTGAAAATTCTGAAAAACTATCCTGCTGCTGCCGTCTTCCCAGAATCCCTGGTTCTTTTTAGTTTCTATTTCTCATTGAGATTCTCCATCTGTTCGCTCATTATGTCTACATCTTCCTTTAACATATCTGTAACAGCTACTTTAGAGTCCTTCTGCTAATTGGAACATTAAGATCATTTCTCTCTCTCTTTTTTTTTTTCCTTTTTCTTAAGATGGAGTTTCGCTCTGTCGCCCAAGCTGGAGTGCAGTGGTGCAATCTCAGCTCACTGCAACCTTCCCCTTCCCGATTCAAGAGATCTTCCCGCCTCAGACTCCTGAGTAGCTGGGATTATAGGCGCCCGCCACCACGCCCAGCTAATTTTTGTATTTTTAGTAGAGACAGAGTTTCACGTGTTGGCCAGGTGGTCTTGAACTCCTCACTTCAAGTGATCCACCTGCCTCGGCCTCCCAAAGTGCTAGAATTACAGGCGTGAGCCACTGTACCTGGCCGGGATTATTTCGTCATCAGATTTTCTTGAATACAGGTCACAATTACCTGTTTCTTCTCACGTCTAGCAATTTTGTTAACTTGGATAGATTCAAACTACAAACTCTGTTTTCACTGGGAAGCAACTAAAATATCTTCTCAGTTTATTCTGCTTCTAGCTGCTGGTATTTTGCTGAGCCTCGTGAGGCCTCCTCAGAACACACAGTTTAGTGATCAGCCAAGGATTTTTAAATATTCTGTATGCAGATTTTGGGGCTCACAGTTTCTGCGAGCCCTTCTCGTCAAGGATTTTCCTTCATCTTTCTGGCTATTCTGCCAGCACCTAAATCTGTCCTTTGATATCTTAAATCAATAAGGCTGTGGCTTTCTGCTGCCCAAGCTATGTGCACTGGGCAATGTCCACAGGCAAAAAGCCCTATTCACCAAATTTATCCATTATAGTTTTTCTTTTTTTTTGAGACAGAGTCTTGCTCTGTCGCCCAGGCTGGAGTGCAGTGGTGCGATCTCAGCTCACTGCAAGCTCGGCCTCCCGGGTTCACGCCATTCTCCTGCCTCAGCCTCCCGAGTAGCTGGGACTACAGTCGCCCACCACCACGCCCGGCTAATTTTTTGTATTTTTAGTAGAGACGGGGTTTTACCGTGTTAGCCAGGATGGTCTCGATCTCTGGACCTTAGATCTGCCTGCCTCGGTCTCCCAAAGTGCTGGGATTACAGGCATGAGCCACTGTGCCTGGCCAGTTTTTCTTTTTTTTTTTTTTTTGAGATGGAATCTCACTCTGTCACCCAGGCTGGAGGACAGTAGTCCAGTCTTGGCTCACTGCAACTTCTATCCCTTAGGTTCAAGTGATTCTCCTGCCTCAGCCTCCCGAGTACCATGCCCAGGCTAATTTTTGCATTTTTAGTAGAGACGGGGTTTCACCATTTTGGTCAGGCTGGTCTTGAACTCCTGATCTCAGGTGATCTGCCTGCCTCGGCCTCCCGAAGTGCTGGGATTACAGGTATGAGCCACCACGCCTGGCCCATTATAGTTTTTTAAAAATGGACTTTTACCTGGCTAACACAACAGTCTTAGAAAATAATGAGGAGCTTTGCAACCTAACTTGACCAGGAATGGACCTATAGTATTTCTTTAGTCGTTCATTCCAAATATAGCCATATTCCAACTCATACTCCTAAGAAGCAGTGGGGTATGTTACTCTGTAGAAACCCTACCTGCCATTGACTGGCCAGGTACGTGTGATGTCACTCACATAGCAGGAAGACTCACAACCTCCATCCAGAAGCACCATTTCCCCATCCTGGAACAAAGTAAGACAGGTTAAAGTGGATAAGCTCATGATTACAAGTTGTTTCTAGTAATCCTAATCCAAAGTATGCCTTTTTTTTTTGAGACGGAGTTTCACTCTTGTTGCCCAGGTTGGAGTGCAATGGCGTGATCTTGGCTCACCACAACCTCCACTTCCCAGGTGCAAGCGATTCTCCTGCCTCAGCCTCTGAGCAGCTGGGATTATAGGTGCTTGCCACCACACCTGGCTATTTTGTATTTTTAGTAGAGATTGGATTTCTCCATGTTGGTCAGGATGGTCTAGAACTTCCGACCTCAGGTGATCTGCCCACCTTGGCCTCCCAAAGTGCAGGGATTACAGGCGTGAGCCATCGCACTTGGTCCATTTTTTTTTTTTAAAGCTCTAATTTGAAGGACACTAATTGCTGGTTTCTTCTATTTATCTACACAGCATCTAAACTTTTCAGATGTTTGAAACAGGGGGCATGTGAAAATAAAACGAAACTTTTCAGATGAATTCACACTGCCTCAAGAAAGTTGGCAATGCATAGTGTTTAAGTGTATAGGCTTTGGAACCAGATTCCTTGGGACTGAATTACTAGGTATAAACATTAGCACATCATAAATATCACTATTATCATTTTTTTAAAGAAAAAAACCCCCATATGCTTTTGCTTTGTTGGTATATGAAAAAAAAAAAAACAATCCTATATACGCTGGTATGCCGGGCCTTATTCAAACACAGCCACCCTTAAACATTTAACCTTGGAATATCAATTCCCTTTTTTTTTTTTTTT